TTTTTTTTATTAATTTTGTACTTAAAATATTCTAAAAGAAACATAACAATATTGTTTTATGTACTTTCACTTTTCACGTATAGTATAACTACTCTTTAAGATTAAGTACTGTGTATCTCAAAAACCAGAGCTAATAAAAATTTTTCATTGTTATTTTCGTTTTTATCACCCCAAAATTAGTAGAAATTGACTAATTTAGTGTAGGAAACATTCAAAAAATATTTTTTTGTTGTGTTGTGTTATTTATTCTACTGTATCTTGTTATATACTGATCGATAGAGAATTTTGTAATCTATACATTGATGCTTTTTTTGTCAAATTTTGATTTTCTGCCATTTTTCAGCTTCTCACTACATGATGTCTTTAAGCGATTTCCGACCAGTTTTTCTTTACGAAATCGAATTGAGCCAAAACGCTGTCAAAACAGAATGGAAAGTTTACCAGGCATTTGACAATGATAGTGCTGAATTTCATTACTCCGAACTTCCATTGTCTAATATGATATAATATGACTTTCTTTGCAACAACATATAAAATTAAAAATCCAAACAGAATAGCTGAAAATAAGAATTACATAAGGCAAAAAACCCTGAAATCAAAATTACAATGAAATAAAAATTAGCAAAAAAAACGAGAAATCAACAATTAAAATTAAGAGATTTAAAGCCAAGTTACTTGGCTTATTTCTTGCTTATTTTTATTTCATTGTAATTTTCATTTCAGGTTTTTTTGCTTAATATAATCCTTATTCTAAGCTATTCTGTTTGAATTTTCATTTTTATTTGTTCTTGCAGATATTTCAACTCATATTATATCATATTAGACAATTGAAGTCCGAAGTAATGAAATTCATCATGAAACATTGTCAACCACCTTCAAACAAACAATGATAGTGCCAATGAACGCACTTTTCGACGTTGGTTTGCGAAATTTCGTTCCGGAGATTTCACCATCGAAGATGAGTCCCGTAGTTATCGACCTACAGTAATCTAGGACGAAGATTTGAGGACCTTAGTGAAGACTGACCGAGTGACCATCACAAACGATGCGTGGAATGGTGGAAGAACTGGGCGTCAGCTTCCAAGCGGTTTTTGATGGTTCAAAACGTATTAGAAAGGTTAGAAAGCTCATAAAGTTGGTGCCCTATGATTTGAACGATCGACAGAAAGTGTCACGTTTGGAGGTCAGTTCTTCTTTGCTTTTGCGCAACCAAAACGATCCATTATTGGATCGGATCATCACGTGTGATAAAAAGTGTATCCTCTACGACAACAGAAGACGTTCAGGACACCGATGAGCCGCCCAGGCACTTTTCAAAGGCAAAAACCCATCAAAAAAAGACCAGGCTACTATATGGTGGTAAGCGGCTTGTGTGATTTGCCTTAACTATCTGCAACCGGACCAAACCACCACAGCAGACTCATTTTGTGAGGAAATCGAAGAAATGTAACAAAAATTGGGTCACCAGCACCCGACACTGGTCAACAGAAGAGGTCCGATCCTGTTCCACGACATCCCCGTCCGTACCTTTCACAACGTCCGAAAATTAAATGAATTGAGCGTCGAAGATCTGCCTCACCAGATCTGGCCAGATCTCTCACCAACTGACTATCATCTTTTCAAGCACTTCGATAACTTTCTCACCGGTAGACTCTTCGCCAAATAGGACCAAGCAAAAACGGTATTCTATTTTTATGCTGTCCGAATTAATCAACGTGTGTTCCGTTGTCAAATGTGCACTGATTCAAAATACGCTTATTTCGATTAAATTGAAGTACTAACTGAGATATTACAATCAGACTCCTCTTTCCCAGTGGGCACTTTGGCCAAATGCCTAGGACCCCGCGATCGATAGGGGCCCCCCTTAGATCAAATACAAAATCCCTAGTTCCTAACAGATCACCAAACGATAACCAATATTTATTGGATACCAAAAAACTTATATAATTCGAAGAAATCGAACCTAAATTACTGACTGCAATACCAACTTACTAGCTTTTACATGCGCGAAGCTATTCTACTCTCGCCCAAAAATTAGGCTTTCCGACTTCATGAATAAAATGGATATCGGCAACGAAATTGCCAGGCGTCAATTAAAGCGCTCAGCTCATTTCAAGTCTTTTCAAGACTGGTGGGAAGCGCACTCAAGGTTAGCTCCTTGGGTACTCAAAATAGGGTCACTCTAGCTTGGGTACCCGGATATGAGGGTCACAAGGGCAATGAAGAGGCCGATGTTCCAGCCCGTGAAGGCGCATCTAAAGCTATGACATCCATGTATGAAGACATCCATAAATTCATGGATGAAAACCGAATCGATAGATTGGTGGAATAAGCTCCTAGGAATGAGGCAGGCAAAAGAGTTCATAAAGAAACCATCGCATAGATTCACGAAAGACCTGCTAAACCACAACCGTAAGGTTGTAAAGGTAGTGATGGGTCTACAAACGGGGCATAGCCGGCTCAGGAAACATATGAGCAAGATATGAGGGGTCAATGTCAAGGCTACGGAGTCTCACCAAAGAGATCAAGCTGGGCAATGAGCTCTAACAACCAAGGAGCATCACAATAGATCTGAAAAGGTCGCAGTGAATCAGATCATGGGCTAGCTCCCCGAAAATCTATTCTAATCTAATAACAAAATAAAATGAACATCGGCAACGAAATTGTTCAATGCAGTACCAATCTCAGTAATTAATTTGAAAATGACATCTGTTTTGCGAAAATGAAACAAAAATCATAGTTGATGACATAGACAAGTGCACTTTTTCCACTGAATTAGTTTTTATTTTCAGTATATATCATTCCTTTCCTTTTGTTTCTGTTTATATTGAATAGCACTAAAGTATTTGAATATAGTGGTATTTGTTATTCATTATGGGATTAATGAATGTATTCATGTAAAACTCCTAGAGAAATATTGACTGAACAGTTTATAAAACCTCAACATACTACGAAAGCTTCTTTAGGTATGTAACAACTCTGTCAGTAACAATGGTTTTGAAAACTGCAAAATTTCACAATAAAATTATCAATTATCAATATATACCAATATATTACTTTGCTGACCACAACACATTTGTCTCGTCATTCCATTTTGGATGCACATCTTCACAGGCAGCAGGAGTTTGCATATCTTAATGAGGATCTAGAAGTGATTTCGAATTGGAGTGTAAGTAACCAGGTTCAATTCAATGCCATGAATACCCAGTCATCGGTTTTCTCCGATAAATGTCAGGACAGACAATTCCGCTTTCTGCCTAGATAAGTTTGTTGGGGGTTAAAATGGACACCAATATGTTTTTGCACAATCATGTCGCTGGAATTGCAAGGGCTGCTTCTCAAAAGCTTGGAACACTGTTCTGAACCAGAAAATTGTACACACCTCAACAACTTTTGATGCTTTATGAAGCTCAGATCAGATCTTCTTTGGAGTATTGTTCTCATGTGTGGAGCTCCGCCCCTAAGCAGATCCTGAAGCTGTTGGATTCTATTCAGAAAAGAGCCATCCGCCTGATTCACTGTTTAAGAACTTTTTCATCTGGAGAACTGCGTTTATGTGAAATAAACTTCCTGAGAACATTTTTCCAAATGGATTCAATCTCCAGCGATTCAAATCCAATGTGAATCACTACTTCCGCACAGGCACTGCTCTCAGAGCGCCTTA